GTCTATGTCAGTATGGAATCAGTTATCGCAGTAAACCAAATCGTTTACGGTTACCTGTCTATGTCAGTATGGAATCAGTTATCGCAGTAAACCAAATCGTTTACGGTTAGCTGTCTATGTTAGTATGGAATCAGTTATCGCAGTAAACCAAATCGTTTACGGTTACCTATCACTGTCAGTACAATCTTGGCCTTAAAGGACGTCAGTTAAACATTTTTACGAGATAACACGTTATGACAACATGAGCATTCTTACCAAAGTAGAATCTTCTTAGTGAGTGTGTAACAACAAAAAAATGCATGCTTCGATCTTGGTGAAAACGATGTGTCTATATATAGTTGAGGTGAACAAAACATGGCTAGGAGTAGTTGGACATAGATCTTTTAATCTCCTTTGATGGGAACAGTCTCATATATAGAGATGTATTTGGTCCTTTGATGTGAACAGTCTCATATATAGAGATGTTTTTGGTCCTTGATGGGAACAGTCTCATATCTAGAGATGTATTTGGTCCTTTGATGGTAACAGTCTCATATATAGAGATGTATGTGGTCCTTTGATGGGAACAGTCTCATATATAGAGATGTTTTTGGTCCTTGATGGGAACAGTCTCATATATAGAGATGTGTTTGGTCCTTTGATGGGAACAGTCTCATATATAGAGATGTATTTGTTTCTTTGATGGGAACAGTCTCATATATAGATATGTATTTGCAAGTGCACATTTTTGATAACCTGTTTATATACGAGTATGCAATCAACAAAAATCTGTCAATTGGTTAGTTTATTTTATACAGATATATTAATTAATATGAAACAGTATAGATAGTTTTGTTGTAAATTACAGACTTAATTAACTATAAGAAAGACGGGATTTTCTCCGGAGATAATTCCGTTTGTGCAAGTTAACATATATATTGGTAAAGGTGGTATTTGTTATAGTATATCAGATCCTGTTTAAGGATTGCTAGGTGATAAATAGTTATAACACGTGATGCTAGCGTTCGTAACACTAACGTCAACTCGTATGACAAACAAATTATACAGAGATGTTGTCACAAGGTAGTGACAAATTTGTGAAGAGCATAGTCATATTCATACATATTTGTTTTAACGGAAGACGCTGTACAGTGCGGTATAGTTTGTGTGCAGTATATATGACAATGGCTTTACAACATGTACACTGTAGGGGTTTTACATAAACAGCTCATTCACTGTCATTTAATTTTACAACATTTTGAGAGTCAAATATGAGTTTCTATCACCTGTAAAAGTTACTGTAATGGTTTATAGTGTTATAGTAAATGTGTGGGCATAATCATCATTTTATTCCATATGCTTTAAACCAATAATACAATGGTATGGTACATTATGAGACACGGTTACTACAAATAGAATACATATTTAACTGGCATTAATGCTCTTATATTTGGTCAAGTAGGGTCATAGGATATCATTGTTTCTTAAAAATGCCCGATATATCAGCACAATTCGAAAACTCATTAACAGATTTCAATTTCAGTTGAGTTTAACTACAATTTCATATGACACGTATACCAATTAAAATTTATAATCATGATTCTTCTTTGAATGTATGTTTAACCAGTTGATGAAAATCGCAAACGCGTCTATTATGCAATACACCAAATAATAAAAAAAAATATTGACGGAAACGAATTCGTTGAAACAACGTTTAAAAAATATGTACTTATATGAAAGGTTTTTCTCAACTGTCATAAGATTTATACTGTAGTTACATACCTACACAACAGTTTGGCGTCACACATGCAGAATTAACGATTAAAGATCATCGTAAATAGAACCGATGTAATTATAATGTATTACACAGTAAACAAACCCACGCACTCATTGTTGCCCTTTAAAAACATACATCCTGCATGCGTACGTAGTTTATACATACATACATACATACATACAAACATACAAACATACATACATACATACATACATACATACATACATACATACATACATACATACATAATACATACATACATAATACATACATACGATAACGATATAAACCATGTATATCCAGCTATTCAGTACAACATCGTTTCGACCATCACTTTCATCAATATCAATAGTGCTGCTGATTTTGTTCTAATTTCTGCCATTTCCAGCTGTTTGAAAACAGTTTTTTTGCTATTGATATTGGTATAACTTAAACAGCATTCAGCCAGTCCAGTGTTACAGATAACAGCTACAAAATGTCATATGTTATAACTATTACATAATGCTATAGATATTATATGTATTTTTTACAGAGTTTTGAATTATAACTATTACAGTGTCATTGATAATATCTCATCATTGTTATAGATACATGTCATGTAATAATATCTCATAGCGTTATTGATAGTAATATTTCAGTTTTTGATTTTCAGACTTTGTTTTCGGGTTTGTCCTGAGAACATATTCGTCATTGCGAGTTGGTCGGCTAAATGGTAACCCTGAAAGTGTGATTGAATGTTTATAACCGATATACATGTCCTGTTTCCTTATATAAGCTCCAGTGAGTATATTTGATCGTTCTGATGGAATAATGATTTGCTGAAAAATATGACAGATGTCAACTTTATTGAATACCAAACTTACATGTTTAAAACTTGTGAAAATAAATATGTATGTAAACAAAACAGGAGGTTTTGTAATAGATTTACACAACTGTACTAGCAACATGATACCAATACTTCTAGTGACTCAAAAGGATAAGTTATCGGGAAACAATGGAATTGTAAAAAACAAACATCATATTTATACACAAGGTATATTGCATATTCACCCGCTGAGAGTTGGTTAAAGAGTTTTCACATAATATTTATACAAATAAGTTCACATTTTTAATCTATAGATTCACATTTATACAGAGAATATTCACATTTAATAAGTTCAGTAATTCACACAATAAACCTACATTATAGCTTGTTATACCATTTATATACACAATAGCACATCAGCTAAACTGTTGACCGTTGGTCAGTTCTTTATATAATATACACGTACACACATAATAGCATATCAGCTGGTCAGTTATGTACATGTATACCATATGTACACAATGATATGACACTGGCTATACTGCTGTTGCTCGACTCTGTATACCATATATACTATATACATATACAGAACTATGCACGTGCACCACGTCGGCTAAACTTCTGTTGGTCAGTTGTGAGTTGGTCAGTATTGCCGCCGGTGGTCAGTGCAGGCTGTTGGTCAGTTCTGTGGCGGATCCTCGAAAACGTCATTGTCCACTTGCCGTACTTTGTACTCTGCTAGCACGTAAAACATCACGGACACGACCAGCATTATAATGAGAATATACAGCTTTCCGGCAACGCACATAAACGTTCCACTTAGGAAGGAAAATGCCAATCCAAAACTCTGCAGCAGTCGGTAATTAGCAAATGCTATATCCGCATCTTCCGGGCACGTGACACATATCAGGGCTGTAAGAGGTGAAAGGTCAACATGTTAGTTAGCATTCATTTATTTTTCATACTTTTGTGAAACGTTCAATAGACCTCTCGGCAATGCTACTCGATACAGTAGTTTATATAGATATTTTAAAAGCTGTTATAAATTAGCATTAAGCAAGGCTTTCATCTTAAAAAAATACATATCTTAAAAAAATAAGATATCTAAAAAAAAGGATATCCTCAAAAAAAAGATATGTTATAAAAGATATCAAATGTCTCACACAACTTTCTCATTAAGTACTTCATCCATAGATAGTTTTTTGTAGCAAAGCTGATATTTTTATGACGTATTCGATATTTTTTCTTCATAATATATCTTGTTAATTAGACCAGATATTTTACAAAGACATAAGATATATCTTTTACCATGTATGACATCTTATTAAAAAAATACATGAGCTATCCTATAAAGAACGTCATTGTCTCGAAACTTACTATCAGATACGTATACATACGGTAAGGATTGCTCCCGATGTCAACACATTGCAATCGATCATTTATAAATAGTTACACTAGCATAAACAAGTATGCAATGTACATTCACAAAATAAAGTGGGTTAGCTTACAAATAGTTCATAATTAATATATTAAAGTCTCAACCAAACCAGAATGTATCGTCTCTTTTTTTATATTCTTAATATTTTCAATCTTAGGTATTGTTTTAGATATCTTATATATAAATACATAAATACATATAACTTAGAAATGTATACCTTCTATATAAATACGTATTAACATATAACTTGGAAAGATATATTGAACATATATGAAAACATATACACGTACAACTAAAAAAACCCACTGTTAAATGTCCAACAAAATATTCTGGGAGACGGCTTTCAATTCGAATATGCCCCTTCAAACAACCATCATCTGCATATAAGAGTACTTCTGCAATGGTAGCGAAGGAATGTAATGACTGTTTATACTTTTTTGCTAGTGAAGGATGAAATGCTGGTTACAATTGGTCCAAAGTGAGTATGGACGAAAGATTTGGTTGGAGTTTTAGGTGAAGATAGTGATTCTGACAAAGAAAGGTAAGTAACAGACCAATAACATATGGTTTCGTTTCGTTTAATTTGTGAGTCTGTGTGTTTTGCATTAACATTAAGGTACTTACGAAATTCAGAATGAACATTGTCAAACATTTCTAGTAAACCTTATTCCGAGAGATTCGTGATATGTTTGTGTACAAACGTTTTCCAATAAAGTTATTTATAAACAAGTATTTAGTAGTTAGTACAGGTGACCGACCCCAAGCAATATATAATTTACCGTACGTTCATTGTCTACATCATAATTTATCGTACGTTCATTGTCTACATCATAATTTACCGTAACTTCATTGTTTTTCATGCTTCTATTACGTTTGATGTACGCAAAGTGATTGCCATTTATCTATCAGCATTCGCCAATTTGCACGATTTATAAATGATATACGACATGTTTCAAGCGTTCTTACAAGTTCCTGACATTTGCAATTCGTGTTAAGACAAATTTCCGTTGCAATAGTGAAACACGCTGCCTCAAAGGCGTCGATAATGACATAGTTAATAACAACTATCGGGTGGTTAAGCCATGGAAAAATATGTTTATTTTAATACATCCCTCATGTACACTAATGTGTTAGTAACGGCAGGTCTATCACGGTAACAGACCGTACCAAACATCTATCAATTTCATCCGAGTCAGACGTATCGATCCGAGTCATACAAACGTTTTAAGAAGTATTGATCCAAGTCACACAAACGTTTTAAGAAGCAGAAACCGGGAAGCATTTACTTTCCTTGGAAAGATGGAAAGTAAGGATTAATTGCACTACCATTTTCCCTAGAGACAGTTTCACTGGTAATGCGCATGCTCCGTAACCCCGCAATGACCATGAGCAGACGTTTTAATGAAAGAGAAATGGAAGTAACGATAGCAAACAAACAGTAAAAAATTGGTAGATTGTGCAGACAAATGGAAAGTGAAAACGGGCGATCAGACAATTTTCTTCTAAATTCACGGGCAGGAAGTAGATAGTTTGATACAGGGACACACGAAAGATACACCGTTATTACAGACATCAAATAAATACAGTGCAAATAGAGGGACACACATACACACAGTGCTAATAGAAGGACACACTTACACACCGTGCTAATACAGGGACACACATACACACAGTGTTAATACAGGGACACACATACACACAGTACTAATACAGGGACATACATACACACAGTGTTAATACATGGACACACTTACACACAGTATTAATACAGGGACACACATACAAACAGTGTTAATACATTGACACACTTACACACCGTGCTAATACAGGTACACACATACACACAGTGTTAATACAGGGACACACAAACACACAGTGCTAATACAGGGACACACATACACACAGTGTTAATACATGAAAACACTTACAAACCGTGCTAATACAGGGACACACATACACACAGTGTTAATACAGGGACACACATACATACAGTGCTAATACAGGGACACACATACACACAGTGTTTATACAGGGACAAGGGACACACATACACACAGTGTTAATACATGAACACACATACACACAGTGCTAATACAGGGACACACATACACTCAGTGATAATACAGGGACACACATACACACACTGCTAATACAGGGACACACATACATACAGGGCTAAAACAAGGACACACATACACACAGTGCTAATACAGGGACACACATACACACGGTGCTAATACAAGGACACACGTACACACAGTGATAATACAGGGACACACATACACACAGTGCTAATACAGGGACACACATACACTCAGTGATAATACAGGGACACACATACACACACTGCTAATACAGGGACAAACATACACACAGTGTTTATACAGGGCCACACTTAAACATTGTGCTAATACAGGGACACACATACACACCGTGTTAATACAGGGACACACATACACACAATCATAATACAGGGTGCTAATACAGGGAGAAAAATACACACCGTGCTAATACAGAGACACACATACACACAGTGCTAATACAGGGACACACATACACACCGTGTTAATACAGAGACACACATACACACACTGCTAATACAGGGACACACATACACACAGTGCTTATACAGGGACACACATACACACAGTGCTAATACAAGGACACATGTACACACAGTGCTAATACAGGGAAAAAATACACACAGTGCTAATACAGGGAGAAAAATACACACCGTGCTAATACAGAGACACACATACACACAGTGCTAATACAGGGACACACATACATACAGTGTTAATACAGGGCCATGTTAATACAGGGACATCCATACACACAGTGCTAACACAGGGAGAAAAATACTCACCGTTCTAATACAGAGACACACATACACTCAGTGCTAATACAGGTACACACATACACTCAGTGATAATACAGGGACACCCATACACACAGTGTTTATACAGGGACACACATACACACAGTGCTAATACAAGGACACACATATACACAGTGCTAATACAGGGACACACATACACACAGTGTTAATACAGGGCCACACTTAAACATTTTGCTAATACAGGGACACACATACACACAGTGTTAATACAGAGACACACATATACACACTGCTAATACAGGGACACACATACACACACTGCTAATACAGGGACACACATAAACACAGTGCTAATACAGGGACACACATACACACAGTGCTAATACAGGGACACACATACATACAGTGTTAATACAGGGACA